CATTTTAAGAATCTACTATGGTTCCATTTTAATCAACTAAAAGCGGGCCATCTCAAGCACTAGTGTTAATGGGCATTCTAGATGGAAAATATAATTAAGGTCAAGAGTGTCAAGAGTGTGGAACGAAGCGACTTCGTATTGGATATGAACAAGCGTGTGCGGCATTCGAAACCCCAACGACATACGACAAGGCTCTTAAATCACCCCATGCGATGAATGGAACAAGGCTATTCAAGCGGAATTAAAGGCATTACAAGACAAGAACACCTGGACAATTGAAACGAAATGTCCAAGACAAAAGGTGATTGGGACCAAGTGGGTTTTCGCGATCAAACGTAACAAATCTGGTGAAATTGAGCGCTTCAAGGCGCGTCTTGTGGCACTTGGCTACAGGCAGACATACGGCGTGGATTCTATGGAGACATATTCTCCAGTGGCGAATCTTAATTCAATTCGAGTGTTTGTGGCGGTGTGCTGACAAAAGGGGATGTTCGTCCATCAGTATGACATCGACACTGCATTTTTAAACGGTATTTTAAAGAAGAGGTATACGTACACCCTATATTGGGTATACAAGCAGGTCATGATCAAGTACTAAAACTAAACCGCAGACTATACGGATTATAGCAAGCGGCAATGACATTGTTCAAGACAATTTCGTATTTTTCGTGAATCTGGGATTTCGATTATGTGTGGCAGACTCATGTACCTTTGTCAAGCATACAAAAGGATCGTGGATTTACGCTGCACTAAATGTTGATGATCGGTTTATCGGAGCTGAATTGATGTGCGCGATTAAAATTGTGGCAGATCAACTTTTACGTCGGTTCAAGATGAAGATACTAGGAAGTGTTCGTTTTGTTCTTGGAATCGAAGTCAAATACCTGCAAGATGATCGACGACTAAAGATCAGCCAAGGATCGTGCACATTATGTATGATCGAGAAGTTCAATCAAGTCGACTCGAAAAGTATATCGAATCTATGTGTTGAAGGGCAAACTTTGGTCAAGATGGACAAGACCGACCCAAGAATGAAGAATCGACCATGTAGGTCGTTGGTTGGGTCTTTATTGTACGTGGCATCAGGCACAAGACCAGATATCTCAAAAGCAGTGTGCCAGCTGAGCCGGCACCTCGAAATTTCACGTGAAGAACACTGGAGTGCTGCAATTTGTGTGTTGCGGTATTTGAAGATGTCGAAGGACAAAGGAATTTGTTTTTGAAGTTATTTCTGATAATTTGTAGTTGAGTGCGTATAAGGATGCAGACTGGGCAAGTATCAAGGACAACCGCAGACCGACATCTGGAGTTGTAGTAATGATCAATGGCGCACCAGTGATCTTAAAGTCGAAGATGCAGCAGAGTGTGGCATTGAGTACAGCCGAAGCCAAATACATGGCTCTCTCTTTGTGTGCACAGGAAGTGCTATGGACAAAAAGTTTACTGAAGGAGATGCAAGTGAAGATCAACTATGCGATACCAATTCACGAAGACAACCAGAGTGAAATCGCAATCGCTAAGAACGACGGGTATCAAAGTCGAGCTAAGCATATCGACATCAGTACCATTTTGTGCACGAGCAAGTGAAAGACAAGATCATCGTGCTAAAGTAAACAGAAATTATGTCATAGCTGGCAGATTTCCTTAAAAAGCCGATTTCGAAAAAGAAGTTTAATTCACTGTTGGACAAGGCCATTATCAGAGACTTCTAATCGAGGGAGAGTGTTGGTGCTATGTGCAGATGGGACGATCGTGGTGACAAGAGGTGCATTACACGGGAAAGGACGACACAACAAGATTGTGTGTAACTGTTGATGGTATAGAAATGTTTCTATGCCATGCACAACATGGGAGAGAGTACACAATGGGATTGTGTGTAACGATGAGGTACATCTCATCGTTAGTTAGTTTTATCGTGGAGTCGATATGAATAGGCTTAAGTAAAAACGTCGAACTAAGGACCTAGCTAACAACAATTTACTCATCATTTTATCCTCTTCTCGTTGCATAAGTGATAACAGTACCTTTGGCTACCCTCATAATAAAACAAAAGTTTGCGTACAGGAATAAACCTCACCTCATCACTCACTCGCAAACTCACACATCCACGCAAATAAAGCTTAACTTATTGGACAAATGCTTTTACTCACTGTGTAACGGAGTAGCCCGTTACATGATATTGACACCAAACGGTGTCAATAGGGAGAGTGTCTAGCGTGATAATTCCCTATTAATATTTTCGAGACGGATAATATTGAAGGAATATTTTCCATTTGTTAAATGAAAACTACTGGCTGCTCAAACATTGATTGATTAAGACGTAACTACCATAAATTACCACCAATCCCTGCTAGACGTGCGTAATGAGTAGTGAGCAGGTAGTCGTCATACGACAAAGTAGTTTAGTACAGTTAGATAAATATAAAAGTTATATTGATAGCTTTACTATATAAACATTAAGTTCTCTTTTACTCTTTACTCAAACGATCTGTTTGAGTAGATTAGCATCCTCTGCACGTACTAGTTTACGTAAAATTTCGTGGCACAGCAAACAAAGGGTGCCCCGTTACAAACTAACCCTGCGGGAGAGAACCTGCCTGAACATACTTTGCAAGACGTAATAGTTCGGCCTACAGGAAAACCGACAGAACGGCAAGTTATAGAACATGACCAAAGAGTATATGATAATACAGAAGAATACTGCGTGCAAGTTTTGTTCCCGATATCGATCATGACTTACATTTTTAACTACAACCACGTAATGTTGAGTGGTATTATCTGTGCGTCATGAATCGAGTGCAGTGCGTGCGGTGTCGCCCGACTTTTGTTCTTATCATTCGCCTACATCGATTGCGCTCTTCTAGGATTCACGGTCCCACGTCTATCTCAGACGACGATTCACAAAACTACTTCCGTAAAGATCGAGTCGGCGCGCTGAGCTTCCCTGATGATCATTGCCCGTTATAGTCCACTGAAAGAATGTGATGCTTTGTACGTTCGCTACTGATGGCATGCATTTTTTGATCGATATCTAAACGAAGGCTGCCAGACTCACTTTGTGGCGCCAGCTGTGACGAGACGGCAAATTGCTGTACTGTGGTCGTGAAAGGCGGTTGTTCTACTTGGTGTTACACTGCCGATGTTTATAAATATCGCGACACCAATGCCATGGAATATTTAGCTTCTTCTCCTCGGTGTCTTAAAGTGGCCGGAAGTGTAATGGGGCACCCTGAAGCTTGTACTGGTGACAGTACAAGCAACTTATTCTGATGACAGAATAAGGCGGTGCCTCGTAACTTCATGTACACTCGTACGTGCAGAGGAAGACAGTAAGAAGAAGCGAGTACTTGGTTAAAGTGAAAAGTAGAACTGTATTTAGTATAGTTAATGTCTGCAATAAATCACTATTTATCTTCATCTAACTATGTCTAAATACAAATGTGTAAATCAACTATCTGCTCACCACTCATTGCGTGCGTCTGTCGTGGCGCGTCTTCGTTGGTTGATATAATGGCACATATCAACCAATCAGGAACTACTCGTAAGTGCTACAGAATATTTGTCCTTATGACAATATTCTGAGAATATAACTCTTACAGTTATATTCTATTAACAATTTCTTATAAATTGTTATGTAATGATTCACCCCGTTACATCACCCCCCCTTAACCATCAGTCACTTTAGTGACTGATTGACTAAATGGATACTCGTCCCAAATCATTTGGGACAGGGTTTGCACTTGTTGGTCCGCGTCCACTTTCCAACATTTCATCGCATGGTAAACAAGCCCATGCGATGCGCGAGCAAGGCCGCCGAGAGCGCGTCTGCACGTCTCTGTGCGGACGCCGAAGCAGAAACAACAGCAACTGATGTCCCATCGGTTGCTGAAGAGACCCAGCCTGTGTCACTTGTTGACGCAGGCGCTGGTCATGAAGACACTCGTGTCTTCACAGAGTACGAGCTCGGTGTCTCGTACTCTCCTGATACGGATGACGGATCCGTATCGACGGCGATTGAATCCAAGCCGCCTGCCAAGCGTGGCATGGACGATGCTTTGCGTCGCAGCATCTTTGGTTCATCTGATGAGTCAGATGAACCATCGCCGAAGCGAAGGCGCTCGAGGTCGCGAGACTCGGGCGCTAATAGTGGTGTCGGTTCTCCAATGGACACCACTTCGCATAGGGGTGCCAGTCCTTCTGTCGGTACGTCGCAGGAAGAGCGGGACCGCAATGTCTTGTGTCTCGCTCCTGAGAAGAAGGCATGGATGCCTCACAAATCCGTTTTGGATCACTTGTCGGCGACGACGAGTGATCGTTATCGAACACGATTGTTCGATTCGTCAAGGATGCATCACCTTGATCTCAGCGCGAAAGACTATCGCGCTGAGAATGAATTCTTCATCGATGCTTTCTTTAGGCATCGATGGTACAGTGGGAATCACAAGCGTGATGGTCCCTCCCTGCTTCAGGCGTGGAACGCCCACATCTATAACCTTGAGGATGTAGGTCGTGACGCTTGGAACGACAAACTTATCAAAGCTCGTGATAAGTTTGAAAAGCGAGCCCCGACAGGTGCACGCTACAAGCGGCATCGTCTGTCAAGGGAGAAAGGATTACCCTGCCTCTCTTGGGGAGAATCGTTACCATGTTGTGTGAACAACTCTGCACGAGCACCTAAGGAGGCTTACCTCCTTACCAGCCCGTGGTGGCGCGTACGTATCTCTACTGAGATGTACGAAGGGATTGACAACCTGAAATCCCTTTACGACCGTGCCGGGAAGACTTTCTTCGGCGGTCCTTCTGCGGCACAGGATGTGCCGCGTCGTACTGCTTAACCAGACCCAGTACGTCAACCATCAATTGGGAGCGGGGCTCCCAAGTATTCCAGGACGGGGGATAGCCGCGCCACCGGACGAGATAACTCGTCCGACGTCCGTTCACGTCGCGGTGGTTCAACAGCTGCTCAACTAGATAGCTCTGGCCACCGCGAGAGTCCTCTAATGGAGGTGGAGGAGGAGGAAAGACGCTCTCCACACGATCATGTGGATCCGTGTGTTCCCGAGAGCTTCTTTGATCGCGTAACGCAAGGGTTACGCGACGATCTTGAACGTGAGCGGAATAGGCGTCTCCAAATGGCGGACACTGCCTTGAAGCATCGAGCTGAGTTTGCCTTTGCTCAGCTAGAGAACGAGAGAGCTCTGACATCTCTTCGTGACGAGCTAAGGGTAGCTCGTGGGATTGTTGATCGGTCTCGGGATCAGATAGCTGCTCTTCAGACCCTTGTTGATGCCCACCATCGGGAGCACAAGGCTCTCTGCAAGATGCTTGAGCGCAAGGGCGTTCTTCATCGGAAGAAGCAGCGTACTGATGGTACGGCTTAAGCCGACCAACGTAAAACGTGGGATGCGTTCGCATCTTACGTGGCAACTCGATCGTGTATGCATTGCCTAGGCGGTGCAATACACGAAATGGGCCAATGTACTTGGGTAGTAGTTTACTGCTACCCAAGTTAGTCACTACATGCTTTGGTAGATTAAGCGTAGACAGTAGGACTAAGTCACCTTTATTAGATAAAAGATTGTTTGACCTTCCATTCTTGTCAGCGTTTTGCTTTTGCTTATCCACCGCTTCGGCGATGGAGTCTTGCACAAAACGGACTACCGTTTCACGAGCCAGTATGAATTCATCTGATGACTCGTTAGCTTCAGTGCGCTGTGAGTGCACTACAGCAACATCAATCTTTTCTTCAGTGAGGGCTTCCGCACTCTCACTGGCATCATCTTCTTCGATATCGATGTTATCGATATCGGCATCAAACGCAATGACTTCTTCGTCAGAGCGTGATGAGCGTGAACCAAATCGGTTTTTGCTCGCGCGAGTCCCTCCCCCCCTTAAACCAGAGTTACACTCTAGTACGGTGGGTACAGGCGGATGGCGCAAGCCATTCACGTAAAACGGTGTATGTGTCGTGGACGCATGCACCGAGTTGTTGATGGCAAACTCTACCATTGGCAAAAACTCACTCCAACTCTTAAAGGAGTGTACGTATCCTCGAAGTATCTCTTCAAGGACACGATTGGCACGTTCCGTCTGACCATCTGACTCTGGATGATCAGATGTCGACATGTTCAAGCGCGTTCCGAGTGATTTGAACACGGAACGCCAGAAATCAGCAGTGAATCTTGGATCTCTGTCTGATACGAGTTCACGGGGCAACCCATGAAGTCGGAAGATGGTGTCAATAAAGACACAAGCACAGCCACTTGCCGTGATTGTCTCTGGTACAGCCACAAGGTGTACCATTTTGCTGAATCTGTCAACAAATACGAGAATACCCATATTCCCGCGTGCGTCTTTGGGTAACCCGAAGACAAAATCCATTGAGATGGATTCCCAGCACTCAGCCGGAACCGGTAGAGGCTGTAAAGGTGCACGCAGTGAAGGACTTCGCATGCGCGAACATACTTTCGCACAAACTGGTACTGGCGGGGCCAGTAAAGTCTCGACTTACCGTGAGATATGTTTTCTCTCGGCCACGATGTCCTCCTATAGTAGCATCGTGATACTCGAACATGATCCGCAAACGCAGATCAGTATCATCTGGAATGACAACACGTGGTGTGTCACCAGAAACGGCTGGATAATACAGTAAACCGTTGCGAGTAATGTATCGATCTGATGCAGATCGATGCGCAGGCGACAATCGTTTCAACGATTCTCGGGATGGTTGGGAGAGATGTGTCAACAACTTTACAATCTCACCATCTTGGGCGTATGCCCGCCTCACATCATCATACAACGTTGTAGATGGGACTGAGGACGTCACAACCGCAACAGTGACTGTCTCACTGTTGGGTTTCGCGACTGTTTCAAAGTCGGGACGACGTGAGAGTGCATCAGCGACGACATTAAGTCGTCCTGGTTTGTACTCGACCGTAAAGTTGTATTCTGCGAAGAATGACAACCACCGCGCCATTCGTTGTGAAAGGTGCGGGCTGTTCACTGCCGCGCGTAGTGACGCATGGTCAGTGTAATCAATGAAGGGTCTATCTCCTAATAGATAGACTCTGAATTTTGCGAGTGCATACTTCATGGCAAGGAGTTCCTTGTTATGCACTGGATAGTTCCGCTCAGCTGGTTGCAGCTGACGCGACTGATAGCAGACGACGCGTTCGACGCCTTCTAGGTCGTACTGCATTAATGCACAGCCGATTGCGAAATCGCTGGCATCACAGAACACATGAAATGGCCTGTCCTGATCGGCTATTGCTAGGACTGGGGATTGTATCAAGCTCTGCTTGATACCCTCAAAGGAGCGCTGACATTCAGCGCTCCATAACCACCTCTCGTTCTTTTTCAACAAACGAGAGAGGTGCACAGTCATCTCGGCGTAATTGCGTGAATATTTATGCAAATACGCCGCTAGCCCAAGGAATTATCGAAGACCTTTGACATCAACCGGCACAGGCCAGTCGGTGATCGCCTTGATCTTTTCGGGATCAGGACGTACACCGTTCTTACCAACGATGCACCCAAGAAGTGGTATTTCGCTTGCTGCAAATATACACTTCTTGAGGTTTGCATACAATTGATGCTTTCGCATGATTGTAAGAACCTTCCAGACGTGTATTCTATGAACCTCCACGTCCGTCTTTCCATCCACGGATATGAATGAATAGATCGCCAAAGTAACTCGGTGCTAAATCGCGCACCGATCGCAACAGATTTGTAAAACATCTGTTGAACGTGGCAGGGGCATTACTAAGCCCTTGTGGCATTACTAGCCATTCCCAGAGCATGCCGCTAGGCGTGCTAACTGCGGTATAGGGTATGTCCGTTCTCGCATAAGGATTTGATAGAAGCCATCCATCAAATTCATGGACGAAAAGATGGTACTCTTTGACATACCATCAATGATTACGTCCTTCCTCGGTATCGGCGTCTGAGCCGGTACCGTTGCAGCATTCAACTTGTTAAATGCATGCAATATCCGCTACCCTCCTGTTACTTTTCGCACACAGAAGGTCGGAGAGCTATGTGGGGATGTTGATTCCCTCACATGGCCCGCAGCTAAACGATCGGCAAAGAACTTGTCGATCGCAAGTACTTGTTCACGAGGCAGTGGCCACTGCTTCATGACACAGTACTTCGAGCCTGGTCAAGCTCGACCTCGTGTCGAATACGTTTATCCTTCGGTAACTCGCACGGAACAGTTTCAGGTAATACATCCTTGAATTCAACCAAATATTCATAAAGAGGATTTGTCTTGAGCGATCCCCACGTTTGAGAATCATATCGCTCAATTCGTGTCTTTTCATCTAGGACACTCTCGTCCATAGATGAACTACTGAGAACTCTCTCGTTCTCAGTAAAAACTGTTGCTGACCTTTTGTCGGCTACACACTCGTCGTCAGCGACGAGTACGCAGATCTGCTTGACTTTGCCACTACGCAGATCACGCAAGAACCTTTTATGTTCGAGCGTTGGCAACTGAGTGATCTCCGAAGTTAACTTCGGAGGCGCAATCAGATCAAGTGTATAAGCGCCTACACTTGATCCGTTATTGACTATGACATTCAATGTCTCTGTCATTTCCTGGGGACTTATTACCTCAGGCCTCGAAGGACTTATTCCTTCGTCTTCCCGGGGACTTATTCCCGCGGGTTTCGGGGAACTTATTTCCGCCGTATTTGTAATCTTGGGACTTATTCTCTTTACTTCCTCTAGCTGGGGTTGCGCAACCACAGCGAGATCCTCTACGAAAGACTCTCCAGTCGATCTAGGATTATCGTTTCGCATAACCTGAGCGATCGATTGTTTCTCTTCTAGATGTTCCCCGCTAGGGATACATCTTTGTCCCAGTCCACTCGACTTATTCAAGTGGTGGACCTTCGGCGCAGCCTGTGTTTCCTCACAGCCGCCGGAACTTTGCTCCGAAGTGTAACAGTTCGTTACACTAAGGTTTTGTGCAGTCGTACTAACGACCGTACCACAAGTGAGGCCATCGCACTCACTCGTATTACATCCACACGCTTGTGGACGCTCCAAAACGTTCATCAGATGGCCATCAGCTGAATAAGCGGCAGGCATCGTTACTGTCCGATGTTGCCAGTTAACTCGTGGTTCGTACCTTCTGAGCCACGGTATTCCAAGGATGACATCAAATTTGTCATCCAAATCCAATACGATAAAGTCATCGTCATATTGGGTATCTTCTAGCGTATAGCGAATCTTCACTATACGCTTCATGACGGTTACGGATGCGCCTGTCGCAAGACGTACCGTCATCCTCGTAGGAGGTGTGTCACATTCACCAAACATAAAGTGACCATCTTCTAGCGATTGGCGTCGCACAAAATTGTTGGACGCCCCACAATCGACTAGAGCTCGAAGGGACAACTTATTCGTCACTTCGAGTTTCAAGGTAATGAGTGAGATCTCATTACCTAGAGCAGCAACGCACAACGTTTGTGTGTTGGGAGCAACCTTCATCAAGAGGACTAGAAATCCTCTTGACGTTGCTGGACCAGTAGGGTGCTCCGCACCTACTGATCCTGTCCGTTTTTTGACGGTCCATCCCGTTGTTGCGTCTTTGCACCAACTGCGGACCCTCGTCCCTGCCCCTTTCTCATGGGTGGACGGTCACTACGCCCAGTGTCGCGAGACACTGGACGAGGGGCACTACACTCGTAAGCGTAGTGTCCTGTCTTTTGACATCTGTTGCATCTCTGCAACTTCTTGTAGCCTGTAGACCGAGCCTTCTCGCTCTCTACGTAACAGAGTTCCATCGGCTCTGGACCTCCGTTGTCATTTCGTCTCGGTTGACGATATGATGTCGAGCTGGCGCGAGCCTGTCTCAGACTGAAGTCTTCCTGCTCCGCAATGGAAATGGCTTGTTCTAGTGAATCTAGTTCAAGCCGGAACAGGTGAGTCTTGACGGGACCATCCGCAAGACCCTGCATGAACACCGAAACCAACGTGTGTTCATCCACCGGATTGGAACTTATACAACTCGTGAGATGTCGTATATGTTGAGCGTAAGCATGCACATCACGCTTGCCTTGCTTGAGCTTCAAGCGTTCGGTTCAAGCTCTGAACTCAGCTCTAGGCGGTTCAAACGTTTGTCTGAGCCGCGACTTGAAGACTTCCAACGACCCAAACGCATATGGGTCGTGCAACTTGAGCCCCAGTGCCCAAGTCTTGGCACGTCCTGCCAGATTTGACTGGGCAAATGCAACTTGCATATCCCCGTCGTCGATGCGACGCGCCCTTATGGCGTCATCCAATTCGACGAACCATCTCAAGAGGGAGTCTTCTTCGACTCCCCTATACTTTGAGATGTCAATCTTCAAGGTTTCGGGTCGACGCGAGTGCATCAACC